AGGAGAAGGACATAGACCGGTGTATCGGGGTGGACGTGGACTATCTCTCTACCATGGACTTTGACATGACTCCGACAGACATGGAGTTTCTCATGGCAGTAAGTCCTATAAACAGAAATCTAAACAAGAACACACAGAAGAAGCAAAACACATTCTTTTATTCAGTGTCATTGTTTGATAGAGCATGGAGCAAGATGTTTAGGAGAAACTCTCCTTTTAAACATTTAGATTTATTCGATGTGTCCACGCTACCTTTCACACCAAGTGTGTTTCTTATACGTTTTCTTGATACGATAGTTTACTTGCCGCTATATCGCCTGGTATCCAGTCTGTCGTGGTTGGGGCAGGCTGTCTTCGGGGCTCAGCTGAACAGATCGCCCGGTATAGGAGTGTTGCCCCTGTGATAGACTTTGGCACGACGGGAGTTGATTAGTGATGTGGTCACTAATCAAACTCCCGCCGAGCAAAAGCTACCGGGGAACCTAGCTCAGGCAGGCGGGGGAGGGCTCCTGCAGCCCCGAAGAAAACCCGTCCCAACGCGATAGACTGGCATGGACACCAGGGTAGTCACTACAAGGACACAAAATCTGTATGTAGAGACAAAATTGATATGCACTGAAATATTGTATCTCCCTTCTTTCTATCCAATTTACAGCAAGGAGCAACAGCGGCAACCGCCTACATCATGGAGTATGCGGAACACAAACAACCACCACACAAGCGTCTGTCGTGATTCAGAACCAACCAATGAAACAAACAAACAAACAAACTTATAGAAGAGCGATATAAATAGTATAACGATACGTCAGCAAAATATAAGAGATAAAGCTTTGAAGGAAACTGTAGTAGGACGAAATTAGTACCCACATTTTCTGTGACAATGCGACAGTGTAGTATTTGTCAAGAAATATTTTGTTGAATCCATTGCTTCTGACTGACTTGCAAGCACGTGACTTTAAAAACAGTAGCTTATCAGAGTCAGATAGTTTGTAGTTCCTCCAGATTATAATAACACAGTCCTAGACTTTATATATTCATAGCCTTTCAGAGAAAGTTTGAATTCTCTTTTGCCTTATTTTATGAAGATTTCACTGCTTTTTTTTATTTCACCAGTGTCTGTGATGCCATTATTAAACTTGCCAAATAAAGCCAAATACAGGACTAGTACATCGTGATAAAACTTTAACAAACTTATTCTCCAACACCACTGACTAAGGGTTGGGCTGAGGGTGTACGTGTATGTAAGAAAAAAATATTTGCAAGAATAACAACAACAGAAAACCAATGTTCACTGGCATGTTCCAGTCTTCCCCCTTTCCTACAGCCCTGGAATCATGCCAATAGGGTCAATAGACCGATCCCGAAGCCCCACCCACCTCCGTCAAAACATAGAAAGTGCAAATATTTGCCACTCTCTCATTGTTTGAACCGATAATTGCCGTTCTCTCATTGGTTGAACTTTTAATTCAGCGATGGACATTCAGGATCGGTCTATTGTGTCACGCCAAATTTCTGCTCAGCCAGATTTTTGCCCCGTACGTAAGGTATACACAGTGCGCGTGCCTGGAAGCTTTGGTTCATGTTAGAACTGAGGCTTAGGATTGGTGTTAGCCTCCAAGCAATGTACGATCAACTTTCTCAACCCCCTTGTCTCGGATATACTGTATGTTAAACGGTAGCAAAAGTTCGCTGTCTGAGAAAAATGGACAATGTTCGCGGAACTATTTCACGGTAGCGGCAGCTAGGTGCAGCAGAAAGAAAGTCGGCGAATTATTTGTCCACGGTAATGATAAGTTAGCGGTACATAAGTGACCACGAAAACCATGAATATAAAAGTGACGAAAAAAAAAAATTAGTGATTTACAGCATTGAAAATAAATCACAAGTAGTGTCAAGGCAAACATTTGGCAGGAGCAATAAAAGTCTGGCTTGACACCTGCATTGAATTACTGGAATGTATCATAACCACGGGCCTTCCAGAAGCGCCAGTTGTTGGGGTTCATCTGGTTAGCGCGGTTGTCTCGGGCCCATTTAAAATCCATCCAAGTATGGCCACCGTCATCACTGCAAAATGGTAAGTTTTATTAAAGCTGCATTATGTAATGTAAGGACGATACAAGAGATAAAATTTCTGGTTATTTCCTTACAAAGTAAGTTGAACAAGAGTTCTGAGATCTCATACCTCCATGAAATATGGGCTTGATATGTAAATGTAAATTTCTTCTTCAATTACGCAAATGACCTCTGCTTTAACATAATATATGTATCGTGATGTTAACTTTTGATTAACTTAGAGATGTCCCAAGTATGACATTCCCATCATTCACCATTAAGAAATCATAGAATTTTCGCATTAACTAAGCAAATTAGGTCATCATTTGCATAATTAGTATCTGTTGATGTTCCATCCGCCATAGGTTACATACATTACATGTATAAAAGTACTATAATGTAAAACACTGTAATTATAGAATTTCCTCATTAATTATGCAAATAAAGTCCTCATTTGCATAATTTGCATTTAATTATGTACATCTCTCTCAGCTACCTACCTACCAAAAATGATGAAAATACGTTATTCCTATTTGGACTTATTGGCTTTCAAAGATTTCGCCCGAAGGTCCCCTGCAGTTCCAGAACAAGCTGCTAAGGAGACCAAACCTACACCACTTATTCCTGACAGGAAAAGGTATCTGTCACCAAACAATTCAAGACCATAACATGTTCAGGACAAAAGATACAAAAACCGGAAGTTCTGCTGCAGTACCAAGGTCATCCACCAGGAGGCCCATATTTGACCTTGACCTTCGTCTTCCTAAGACTTACCAGCATACCAAATATCATCACAATCCAAAAAGGCGTTATGAAGTTATGCTGACTACAAATGTGCGGAAACACACACACAGACACACAGACACACAGACAGACAGACACACACACACACACACACACACACACAGACGCGCCAAAAACAATACCTCCATTTTTCATGGAGGTAATCAACCATACTCAAAGGCAAAAACACGTGCAATACAAGAAGCGAAGGTGCCGAAATACAAAAGGAGCATTTGAAACAAGTACAAGAAGGTAATACAGAAGTAGAGACAAGACAGAAATGCAAACTATCGTAAGTCCTAAATCTATACACTGGGTTTATCATCTCTTTTGAAGACATAGGAAGATGAAAGATCCCACGTTTCTGTTAATGTGCGGGTTCAAATTCGGACGTTAAGAAAACTAGTAAAAAGAAGTCTGCAAAGGTTCGTAAATTAACACTGACCCGCCGCCACAGCAGCAGCAACGACAGCAGCAGCAGCACAGCGCCAGCACGAGAACTCCACCAACTATGGCCACGGCAATCACAAGGACCTCAAAACTGACTGGAAAGAGGGAAATGGAGTAATTTTCAAAATGTACAAACATCTCTTACTAATATTACAGACGCACCAAATGCAACCGTTGTCAGGATATAGGAAAGCAAACACCAACAAGAATTCCGAGATTTCATACCTCCATGAAATATGGGCTTGATATGTAAATGTAAATTTCCTCTTTAATTATGCAAATTACCTCCGCATTAACATGATATATGCATCGTGATGTGTGTTAACTTTTGATTAACTTACAGATGTCCCAAGTATGACATTCCCATTATTCACCATTAAGAAATCATAGAATTTTTGCATAAATTATGAAAATTAGGTCGTCATTTGCATAATTAGTATCTGTTGATGTTCTGCCTGCCATAGGTTACATACATTACATGTATGAAAGTAGTATAATGTAAAACACTGTAATTATAGAATTTCCTCATTAATTATGCAAATAAAGTCATCATTTGCATAATTTGCATTTAATCATGTACATCTCTCTCTAAGCTACCTACACACCAAATATCATGAAAATACGTTGTTCCTATATGGACTTATTGGCTTTTAAAGGTTTCGCCAGAAAGTCCCCTGCAGTTCCAGAACAAGCTGCTAGGGGGACCAAACTCACACCACTTATTGCTGACAGGATAAGCTATCTATCACCAAAAAGTCAAGACCATAGCTTGTTCAGGACAAAAGATACAAAAACCGGAAGTTCTGCTGCAGTACCAAGGTCATCCACCAGGAGGCCCATATTTGACCTTGACCTTTGTCTTTCCAAGACTTACCCGCACACCAAATATCAACGCAATCCATAAAAGTGTTCTGAAGTTATGCTGACCACAAAGTTGCGGAAACACACACAGACAGACACACACACAGACACACAGACAGACAGACATACAGACAGACACGCCAAAAACAATACCTCCATTTTTCATGGAGGTAAATATCAAACATACAGTAGTCAGACCCAAATCAACGCGTTCCTACGATAGTCTCCACCAGACTAACAACGCGGGTTCAAAAACAGTAAAATTCATCCAAATAGTGGAGGTCATTTGCCAATCCTAACCCTCTTAGGAAGGCCTGGTGGAGGCTATTCCTAACACGAACAGGACAAACTGTATTTCTGGTACATGGTATTATTGGTGCAGTTCTATAAACATCCGCATGGTGGTACCTACCATCACAGGTGGCTCCCCACCGAACCTGGGCCAGCGGACACTCTGCCGTGGGTAAAACGGCCGAGGCCGGGTACAGACGGCAAGAGTGGTCCTTGTAGCAGAAGTAACACTGAAGAATGAACGGAAACAACAGCGTGTCATTTAATGCCTCAAAGAAGTTTATGTTTTCCTTAGAGTTTGTATGTGTGTAAGTGTTTACACTGTATGTGTATATGTATGATTGTATGTTTAGCACGAAAACTCAAGACGCTATGGATTTCTTTGATTATCAAATTGCTGTTTTTGTGATAAATGTATTTGAACATAGTTGGTCATACTATTGCGTGAAACAACTACCACATATATCATTAGTTCCTGTAACATGTGTGAAACAGACACATTCTAAAACTAGATTCTATCCATACCTTCTTGAGGTATGCTGTTAACAAACAAACAAACAAACGAACAGACAGACAGACAAACGGACAAACGCCATGACGAAGGTAATAAATACAGACAGCACCGCATAAAGCACCCTATCCGGCATTTGTAACCCTCTGCACCCACCTTCACGTCTCCGATACATTCCCCACAGGAAGCGTTACGGCTACTGCAGTCTGAAAAACAACCCAGACAGCGACTCTCAGACAGAGGATCTTTTGTTGTCTGATAGTGGTTTGTTGGTGAAACACACTTGTCTAACGAACTTGTCAGGCAAGAACTGGCACAACAACACGTAAGCAAATACCGGACATTTTACTTAGGGTTAGAGTTGAACATGAATACTTTTTGCAACATCAAGGTACCTGTTTAATGTTAAAACAAAGTACTTCCTTTACTGTACATTTGAACGAAAAGCTCAAATATGACGACACTGGATTCTTTGGAATATTTATGGTTTCGTCTGCTTATTATAAACTAAGAGGGCCCGAAACTCTGAGCCAAAGCATAGAGTACCAAATCAAGTACTCGCGAGCCATTTCACATACACAACATTTCATCACTCAGGTGTCAGATCGTGGAGCTAGAAAAGGTCGATCAGCTAAAAAAAAAATTATGTCCCTTGCAGGGGCACAAAAAAGCTAGGGTCTTCAAACAATGTTTGCCACCTACCAGGGTTCAGATAATCCTGCTTAATTCTTAATTTTAAGCGGGGGTTTTAATTACTTCGATGTAGTGTACCCAGAGTTTTACCATACTGTTCCGCCCATATGTGTACAGGTGTGACAATATTATAAGTATCGGAGTGATCCTTGGCTTTTTACTGTCTTTGGCGTGACCGTCAAACAACGCAAAACTTCATAAAATGTCTGACATACATAAAAATCTTCATAAAATGTCTCACATATGTCAAAATCTGGTAATTATGGCCTGATAGTGACGGCATCACACTTACCCACTTGACCGCTGGGTGTGGTCGGTGGTGTGGCGGTAGACAGGGGACTAGTGGCGTTGACCAGGTTCTCTTGGGCAGAATCAGAGGCTAAGGCCGACGTAACAAACTTAACGCCCAAAAACACTGCCACTGCAACTATGGCAAGGCTAACAAGTATCGCCAGTGCACAACAACAACCCTGCCCTTTCCCTCTCGCCATGATGGCTTTTGTGTGCTGTACCAAGGCCGTGGTATCAGCTTTACTGTGTCATTGTTGCTGTTGGTTCGGGTGGCGGAATATGTTATTATTACTCTGCGCCTACTCTTTAAAGCAGAGGTTTTGGCGCATGACGTCGAACTTTTTTTTACGTGTTTTACGTGTTTTACGTGTTATTTGTACTTAGTATCTTTTTTTGCGCAAGCCAATGAACACTAAAACTAGCCTCACAGCCTGTACAAGAACATGCTGAATAACATTGATTTTTTTACAGTTGATTTTCTGGCAAATACAAATTAACATTACAATCCATATACTAACACACGAAACAAAAACATTACAAAAAGCCTCACATGGGCACTAAAGTAAAGACCAGAGAGTCCTAAGAGTCTTGCTGCGAAGACTTGTTGTACAGGCATATTGCCCTGTGTAAGAAAGAGTCTTGCAGCCTTCTCAGATCTGCTTGGAGATTAGTTCGCTCTAACGGTGATATAACTTGTCGACTTGATTTTCATGGAAGAAGGTGCCCAGAACTTCAATCGGTATTAACTGAAGACGTTACCACAAATATCGCCAGTACGCAACAACAACCCTGCCCTTTCGCCATGATATATGGCATTCTGTTGTGTGCAGTTTTACTGCTGTACCAAGGTCGTGGTATCAGTTACTGTTGTTTTCCGGTGTCGGAATGTGGTAAGGCCACACCAAGTAATTTTTATGGATGACATCAGCGTGCGCAGTAATTTTCGCCTGATTTTGATTAAAAAAAAACAACAACAACAACAACAAAACAACAACAAAAAAAGAAATTCTGTTGCCTCCTGACAGTGGTTAACATGCCGAAAATGGGCAAAGATGTCTGATGCCATGCCGGAACGTGGATGGCAGATCATCAAAATACGGAGAGGATACAGGACAACGTCATGATTCATTGTTTTGTCTTTTACGTTGATGCAGTGATGTATTTCATTCCTTTATAATATGTGATGTTCACTGATTCAAAACCATATGCACAGTGATTGAAAACTTCTATTTTTCAGTGACAAATGGATGCTGTAATAGTTGGCAGTAAACCTAGCACAGTATAGGTATCCTTTCTTGTTTAACAAGATTTATGATGTCAAAGCTTGAGAATGTAGGAACCTTTAGTTATTTTTTGGCCCGCCCTGTTTTTTTTCCGCCCTATCGCATTAGATTTGGAGTCTACGGAGGATGTCATCCAGAAAATGTACTTGCTGTGGCCTAATAGAAACCTAGGATTAATTTGCCGCACATTTGTCCTGGCGCTCTTTGTCATATGTGCGGTTTAGTTAGGTAGTAAACATAAAGACACTTCAACCTCCTTCCGATAGGCGTCGCTTTTTGTGTTACTTTATTTTGTTGTCTCAAAAACATATTATAAAATTTGACATATAATAGCTATTGAACGTTAACGTTAACTTCAAGACTTCGTAGGGAACACGCGCGAATTACAAGGAACAAAGAAACCAAATAGAGGAACATCATATTAGTTGCGATGTGCATAATTCTGGTTGTGCAAATCTAGGTCACCATTTCCACAACCAAGTTCTGTCACAACCGCAACCCGATTGCTAAGGTTGTATCCATCCGCGATAATGGCAGGAATGATGCCAGATCACAACAAAAAACTGAGTAAACCAAGCCATCCAACTCTTGAGACCCAGTCACCCAGGTCATATTATATAATCTTATTATCTTAGATATGTTAAAAATTTACATCAGAAGGGAGAATATTTCTTCAAACACTTCCAGTACAACACGACTCTTGACAGATGCTCCCATTTTCAGAATGGAAATCGCAGGTTCATTCCTCCCATGCGTTCGAACGCCATGTTTACACGGGTTGCCATGGACACAGGTTCGAACTCTACACATTCGACAAGTTTCGTGCTCACGAACCAGGTGGGAAAGTTTTCTCTCTCCTGTTTTAGGTGAAAAATCCGGTGAAAAATCCTAGAAAAGTCGTAAATCTCTGTCATATCTTACGCGTGAGTGCTATTTACATGCCGTTACGGCTGATAGACCGTCCAAAAGTGTCAATATCTGGCGAAATGAAGCACAAAAAGTTCGCAGAGTTCTAAACAAATCTGGACAACGCAAGGTCACATAAGACCTCAAGGTCATTGTCGCTTGTAAAGAAATTTTAGGCTTACGGGAAGAGAATTAAGTATTTGGGGGTATTTCTGACATCTTGTAGACAGTTTGTAGTGTATGTAGACGTCTTGCCGCCAGTGGAAACCAGCAAATCATTTAATTTTTGGTGGATTTATTTGATGACCTCTGTAGGTGTTCTGCATGAGTGTACTTCGCCTTACTGAAGAAAACCCCTACAACACGATGTCTAACCTGCGTAAGATAATGACCGTGAACGACTTGAGTCAGGTAGAGGTAAGACCTACACTAGCTGATACTCGGAGATTGTTCTGCAACCTTGTCCACTGAACAACATTTGGCTTCAACCTGTCGGCAGCCTTACTTTTCAAATCAAACTTCATACCGAGGTGGTAGATGAAATGTATATAGACATTATGATTACATAACTAGACCAGGAAAAGTCATATTTCCATAGACGTATCAATGTGCTGAATGATTGAATTTCATTTTGTTTTGCTGCTCTTATTATTATAATATTACTTATTTATAAATTATATGTCCCTTTCCTACTCACTACAGACTCAGGAAATTGGTGACTTGAGAAAGGTGAGAAGACTGAGAAAACTGATGAATGAGAGTGATGAGGGGAAGTTGAAGGTAAGTTATCATTTCAACAACATTTATGACCTGTCAGAGCAAGGAGCTTTCATGAAAGCTTTCATGAAAGCTCCTTGGTCAGAGTTAGATTTTATACCAGTTATTATCAAACTACATGTAGTCTGTGTATTCTCTCATCTTCACCTGAATATTTCCCCTTGTCAAAATTTAAATCTTAACAGGATGTTATCAATAGAATTCCATTTGAGCAGCCAGGGTAAAGCAAATTATTCTCCTCTCATACTTGTTATATATTTGCTCATTTCATTAAACTATTCACAAGTTCCCCCAACATATGTTGCTTTGCTCTTTTCTGTTCTGTTTGTTTAGCTCTGCTTTGTTTGTTTCTTTTGTTGATCTTATTGCATTGTGTTCCTTCTCCTAAATAGCCCGGGCAAGAGGGTGATGCGGCCAGCTCGTTTAGCGAGTAAGCTGAACTGTTTAGTTGAGTTTAACTAACGATGTTGAGAACAGGTAGAACATGATAGAAGCCAGTCTGTTGTATATGGTGGGAACACCTGTATTGTATGTGGGAATAGACCTGTTTATACTTTTCAGGGATTGAAAGAACTGCTTATGTCACAGGGGGGACATTTCAAATAGAATGCCATTCTAGAACCCGGAAGTTGAACTTGGCTTTCACTTGCAGATCACTGTAATGGTCTGCATTCTGCTCTCAGATACCAGAATCGGCTATCTGGTGAGATTGTGTGGAAGGAAACAGGGGACTGCTGAGCCATTCTTCAGCAAAGTATCAATAAACTTTAGACTAATTGTAGGAGCCCAGGTCAGAAACTTTCAGAAATCAGAGTTACACACGTAATTATAAAAGGGGGGACATCGCCAGTGAAAGCCGGTTCTGGAATGGTGTTCTATTCAAAATGCCCCCCTGTGACGTAAGCAATCAGTAAAAGGTAAACTGGTCTATTACTAAGATGATGTTACAAAGTAGGTTGCTGCATTCTCCTGCATAGTTAAGACAGTACTGTCTATCTGAGTCATGTTGTTGTTAGAAACCTCGTTCTACATGTTTCATCTACAGATCAGCTAACATGAGCAAACTGGTCCGAGGTTATGAGTCCCTGGCCAGTCAGTCACATGGAGCTGTCAGGAGTGGGATCACCACACAGGCACTACCAGGAACTGACAGGGCTCTGATCAGGTACTTACAGCATCATTTCTATGTGCCTTTATTCTTGTAGTCTGAATGATTTCTAACACCAAATAACGTTTTAATCATTTAATTAAATTCAGTGGTTAGAAGATTTGACCATTCCTCTCTGTATCTCTTTTTTAAGTTAAAGAATCATGAAAATGTTTTTTCTCCTGCTGTTATCTGAGTTAAAAACCAATCCAATGACTGGGAGCTTGAAAAGCAGCCTGAGTGAACAACAGAAAATATTCTTAATGTGATTGCTTGTAACAGCTCCTACAGAAGGTTATGTGTACTTAATTTTGTCTCTTTCTCAGCCTCTTACCAAAAGCACCCAGGCTTCACCATGGAGTAGACACAGGGGAGACCACCGACAACCCTCCTGTCCCTCCACCACAGCCTGCCAGATGTGGGTACTTCGTGCTGTACAGACTCCACAACGGAGAGTGGTACCGCTTCCTGGCTTCTGATGATCACATCCTGGAGGAGCTGTTTGGTGACGGTGAGGAATTGCACAGGCTGTATTTCCACTGTGAGGCAACGGCGAGAGATGGAACCCTACCAGTCGGCAGATTGGATGCTATTGACGACCTGCCGGTACGTGGACTGACGTCCTCAGAACTGTTGGATGTCGTGACCACGTCAGTGGATCCTGATTTGTGGATCAAGCCGCTGGAGTTCGAACTGATCACACTGGAGGGCCTGACCAGTGAGCAGGAGCTTCCCAGTGAAGATGAGGAGTCTAGTGATGAGGAGGAGACAGAGGAGAACAGCGACACTCAGCAGCAGGTCTGCCCTGTCAGGAAGCGGGGACGTCTGGCCGCTTTCTTCTCACGCTGCCGCAGGGCTTTCACTTCATGCTGGCGCCGCTGAATATCCAGCAAAGACATTCTCTATTTATGACATAAAGCTATTTACATTTTGTATATTTGTAAAAAAAATATTGTGAAAACTCAAAACACCAGCTTGGTGCAAAATGGTTGTTGAGCAAAGCTTATGATATGAATCATAATGTCAAATGATGCTATACATTATATTTTTCAACTGAGCTTTCTGCACATGAAAAGATTTTAATAGCAGGCAATATACATTCAGGACACATTAGTCTACATTCAGAAGAAAATTGACAGTTGTATTATATGCCAGGAATGTACATGTATGTGCATTTTATCCAGAGGATTACTGTGGTATGCATGCAATTATATATTTTTATGCACATTCTCAAGATGTTTTTAAAGAACAAGACCAAATTGTGAACTAGACTGCATACCACAGTGTTGTAAACACTGCTATATGTAAATACAACTGTTACAGTCTTCTGAAGTGCAGAGTGAGCTGTGTTGTATTATACTGTGTTATGAATATTACCAAGCAAACTTTCCTTGACAATACAATTTTATTGCTTTGATGTAGAGCTCTGCTAACAGTGCCCTCTTTAACACCTGTTACTTCCACTTTGATATCGTAATCCACCATTACACTCCGAGCAATATTGAATCTGGACATTCCTGTAGAATGAGTACATTCCTCCAGGAAAGTGGACATTCCTCCACTTTCAAGCGTATGTTCCTCCAGGAAAGCATACATTCCTCCGGAATCGGTATATTTCTCTGCGGAAGAGGACATTTTTCCAACACCCCCACCAGCCCGTGGAATCAGCCGTTAACCAGACAAATCGCTTCCTAGTTCATCAAAATTACAACATCCTGTCTTTAACTTTAAGGTATATGATGTGAAAAATTGAAGTTGTAGGAATCTTGGTTTTTTGGCCCGAGTGGCCGCCTTGTTTATTTTTTTGCCCTATAGCATTAGATTTGGAGTCTGCGGAGGATGTCATCCATGAAATTTACTTGCTGTGGCCTAATAGCTTTGAGTGGTGTTAAACAACAGGAAAAGTATGCTCAATGCATGAGGACCTGGGTCGAGTGAAATATCAATGGTTACGGATTATGCAAATCAGGAGCTGATTTGCATAATTAATAAAAAATGGTGCAATGGCAAATGGTGGTGACTGCAAGTACGTTGTACGTATTATATGAATTAGGACGGCATTGGTATGATTGAAGAATTTACTCACTGGATGACTGGAGAATGGTATTAAAAAAACATGCCAGCAAAATAACGTTAAGTTCCACAGTTGAGTCTACTTAAAGGTACATGTAGCTGCATTTGACGACCATGCTACTCCTCAATTTTACAAACACAACTAATCAGAACATTAAGTCCTCAAGCTTTATTATACGCAGTTTAAAATGCCACTTCACTCACTCCGACCTATATATTATATTTACAGTGATGTTAACCAAGCAAACCAGTCAAATATACAATGGTAATTTTTGTCTTGTCACCTTACTGATAGTTGTTTGAAACATATTCAATGCTTAATATCCACAAAAACCATGCTCCTTTGGTCAACTCCAGATTATGATAAATAAAACAATCCAAGACTAGTTCTAAGTGCCATTAAAAACATCTATCTTCCCCAAATACAACATGTATCCAACTGGTCTTGTTTGGCATACATGTACATGCTGTAAAGAAATCACTTTCATTACTACATCAATCTTTCCAAATCACAGTAAGTATACATTGTGTATATACACAATTTTTTTTTTTATTCTCTGTTTCTGATGATGCTTCCAATTGTCTGTAGTATGTAGTTCCAATCACACTTTAGAACATTGGTTCGACCAGGATTGTCCAGATTTCGGTGTTGTTACTAGTGTTAGTGTGGACACAACATATGCTTGTGAATCGTTTTGGGAGCCTGAAATAGCTTTGATGATAAAATTTGCTACTATTCAGAATAATATGAATAGTCTGTATATCATGACTGAACGCAGATGCTGTCTGGACTACATTGACACAGCCACAAGGATCCCCATGTATGCTGAAACCTCTGTGTACTTGTTTTAGGTAACACCATGAATATTGGAATACAATGTAGAGTATTGAACTTGAAGTGATAACAGCCGAAGCAATTTGCAACTTGAAGCTTGGAGTCTACATGTACATAACGTTAGGAAACTTTCCACTTTAAGCTGTCCTACCGGTATGTGTACATGAATAGATATGCTAACTTTCTTGCAATGCTAATTCATGAGGTAGTTGAACAAAGCACGTGTCCATTGTCAGGTTAACTTTTAACATAACTACTGCGTATTCCTTAACAGAACCACTGTGCAAACTCAAGTCACAACTATGAGTGCAGCATGCTCCGACAAATTTTGTTATATTATTAGGGGAAAAGGGCGAGATGGAGAAGTGTCAATAGGACAAAAAAAAAGCAGGGCAACCACCCACTGAAGCAGAGTGTATTCAGGATACATATTATGCTCTGACTGGTGTTGCAACACCCACTTGCAACCTGCAGAAAAAAATTAGGTTGCAGGTAAAATTCTGAAAAACTTGTGGTTTTGCTGGCTAGAGCTAGTAGAAAAAACATTTGAGCTTGCCATCATGAATTTCAAATTAGCCATGCACCAGCAAAGTGAAGCCTAGGTTGCTTGTAGATTGTTAAATTGCGAAATTTCTGTGTCATGAAAATTTTTTGTGGTTTAGTGAGACGTCTGTAAGCGAATTGATGACACAAATTCAAATCCTGTGTAGTACATCCTTCTGTTATGAAGGTACAATGTAGTTAGGACAATAACATGGGTTTCTTTAGGCCAAGAGGGTAGGTTTTGGCATACACCTCAAAACAGGAACATAAACCCCCGGTATATACAGTGTAGCTATATCACAAGTAATACTGTACAAGATCAAAGATGTATTTCACATATAGGGATGACACAACAGACCACATCACTGACATTGTTGACTTGTTTGTTTGGATTATGCAGAAACCAAAGTCTAAGTTGAGTTGAGTAGGAACAATTGGAAATTAAATATGTTATGTATGATACATGTAACTGTATTGTAAAAGCATTGTTGTGTGTGCACACAGCACTCAAACCAGGAGTTAGCCACAATTGATATGGAAGGAAAACTGCAACAATGCATCAGCTCTGTTTTAACCACCAGACTAACTAAGGGCCTCTATGAGTTCTACAGTTACCAACATTCAATCTTAAGTAACAAAATCCATACAAAAGCACTGTGTAGATCAAGATGATATGAACAGGGGAGGCAAAAAATACATTATGCTATGTTACTTTGCCAGGCTACAATTAACAACCACTACTTGCTGTTATCACTACCGAGCAAAAAATCACCCCCCAAGTTGTTGAGTTAAGAAAAATAACAAGTGTTCACTTCGATATATATACAGAATCTAGGATAATAGCTGGAACTGACCGGGTGTAATGTTTGCATTTATACAGAAAAAAGGTTTAAAGTTGAGTACAAAAGACAAAACTTGCAGGTACAAATACACTTCATTTACAGGAATAACGAGCACTTCACACTACAATATAGGCATTTTGCATCAAGGTTTAAAGCTCTTATTACAGTACAGGACAATAACAAGTGTATGGTCCATCATTCTTTTTGGCAAATACCTACCGCAAAATTTAAGTCAATCCTCATATTATCATTCTGTTTCATACACTTAAACTTTGATAAACTCATGATGAATTCAGAAGATTTTCAAACCCTACAAATGTACATTCTCATGTTTACTTTGCAGGTGACTGCAGCACAAAAAATCCTACTTGGGATATATGTAGCCAGTCAGCAAGTTTGAAATAAGAGATCTAAGCCTTGATCCATGGAAGGGTAGTTTCAAATTAATCCTCTTTTCTTCTTGTACTCTTCCAGGTTGAGTGATCGTTTTGGTGCACCGTCCTTTGGAGGGCCCACTCCTTTGGTCACGTTAATGGGTCGGGTAGCTGCAAAGGAAAAAGACAACTTTAAACACTGCATTAAAACATTATTCTCTCTTATCATATAGCCGGGTGACGTCGACCAATCAGAAGGCTCCATTCCACATTCCTTATGTCGCCGTAATGTCACAAATAGAGTAAAAATCGGGTATTTATTCATCCCAATCCATACATTAAACAAACCCAATAATCACCCGCATATGACCTCAGGTGACCCAATAGAACAGGCTCTAGTTCTAAAAAATCCAAAAATAACTTGAGTTGTGTTCCAATGACTCTAATAAGAACACCTGTTCCCTGCCTGTGACCCAGTTAACGTGAACTCTACCCAGTGACCTCAAGTGACTCCATATGGAACTATGTTCTATGTTCTATTCAGCATGTGCAACGGGTAAATTGTACATTGTGTCACTTACTGCATCGGTTTGGATAGGCTATCGTGTAAGCTATATGATAATAGCGTTAATGGCCCGCCCTTTCTCGGTGAATATGGTGTGATAAAGCGTTGTCAGTTGCTATAACCACCTCATAAAGCCACCTCGTTCGCTGCGCTCACTTGGTGGCTTTATTCTGTGGTTACAGCAACTGACAAGGCTTTATCACACCATATTCACCTCGGGGCGGGTCATTAACCCTTTTTAGACGTAATTCCAATCTCCGCGGCCATTTTGAAAAGCGGTCCCGCACGCACGTGATCTTGCACGAAAACGAGGCGCGTACGTATACTCAGCTGGCTTCCACAACAGGTTCCATTGGGGCATCGAGCGGTGCTGCATCTTCTTCGGTAAATTACGCTCTTCTACGGTGAAAGGTCGAAATATTTATACGTGTTACGAATAGATAAGGTTGTTATGAGCATTTTTGTTTAATTTCAGCCGGTAGAAATTACAAATCCCCCCTCATTTTCCGAATTTCTTGACCAAACTCATAATGTACGTTATACGCTAGCTACGCTCGCATGAAAAAATACGTAAATATATACTGACTTCATTCGTACAAAACCTGTATGGGGACGTGAAAATAACAGGTAGACATCCTTGTGGTTCAACATGTAGCGAAATTTTGGCGGTTGTTCCGGAAATTTCACGATCGCAAGTCGAATTTGGCCTTAGAAATTATTAGATATCGTCGTACGTAAATCGTCAATTGGGGGAGGGGGGGGCGTTCGTACGTAACTTCTGTTCTTTCAAAGATTATCCTCTACTTTCTCCGGTAATATTTCAGTTTAACTGGATTAACTTCCACAGAAACGTAAAAATGTTGAACTGAGATTCTAGCGGGACGAACCTTACCGCAAAAGTGACGGATGCGAGTCGAAAATTTAATCATTTTTTAATACTACGTCACGGTGTTGTACATGCCTTTCTAGTATTTTCGTGTAACTTCGCGGCAAATACTAGTACTCAGTAACTGTGCCTTCATTTCGGGTGGATTTGTGGTATCGGATTATCTTATATTGTCTTTTGGAGTTTAGAAATGGTTTATTATTGTTCTATAGTATGTGTAACACTGTAACGGTTTTGCTTTTTTTCAGACAAACACATCGACAACTGCCAAGAACGGATCCAAGAAGAGATTCAGTGCAGGGCGCTACAAAGCATATGGGTGCAACAGCTCAATGTACAAATGTATAGATGGGAAACAAGTCCTGGAGAAAATATAATTTTTCGGTATTCCCAGAAGAGTACTGGAAGACAGAAGTAAAGTCAATTATTTGGCTGCATGCTTTAATCAAAAGACAGAAGACAAACATGTACTATCCATACAAGGTGTTATTATATAACTTACAGTGGTCTTACTGGATTTACTAGCATGTTCAATAAAAATTGTTAGCTTATAATTAATAGTATACTTCTTTAAAAAGTGTGATGTCAGGACATCACAGAACATCATCATTCAATAATCACTTTGTACCATTTATACAATAAATTGAAAAGCCAACAAAGAGATGAGAACTAATGTACAATAAAATACCTGTTGTTCAAGACTTTAATTAAGTTTGCTTTTACATATCTTTGTTAATTGTTCACTAAGAATCATAAAAGTGAACATGACAGATTGTTAGCTATTGTCTGTGATTGACAACATCACCGACACCCAGCAGCGAGGAGGTCATCTGCGATAAGTATCAACTGCTTATTAAGATTTTTAAAAGTTTGTGATCCCAGACTAGGAAAACTGTTACAACAGGCACTGAGCTGGGTACATAAGGCCGTAACAGCTAGTGTAACTCTAGTCAAGCCCAATCACAGAGAATTTCATCAGTCTCATCCTCACTTGAACACAACTTGTAACTGAGGAGAAACAGGAGAAAGGTAGAGTTCAGCTGTCCTTCTTCAATTTTTTTTCCTTTTTTTAAAGGTTTCCATGGACCTGTCTGGTACAATTTCTTTCCACGCTTGACTCTTCTTGTCAGAAGTTCTGGCAGGATACTAGTAGTTGTCTTGAAAAAGTGGTCCAACTCAGGAACTTCGGATTCTCTTTGATCTGCCTGCATGTCTCCGTGAGAGATCTGTGTAAAAAAAAAGGGGAGAAAAAATATCCATAGAGACTTAGAGAGAAAACATGCACCCCATCATTTGTAGAACAACATGACCTACCAAACTCCCTAAATATTAGTCAGTGTTTTACTCACGTCTATCTCAACTCGAAATGTCCACGTATCTGTGAAATTTAATCCTCCCTAAATGTACAGTATTTGCCGCGAAGTTACAAAATACTAAAAATACTAGAAAGGCATGTACAACACCGTGACGTAGTATTAAAAATGATTAAATTTTCGACTCGCATCCCTCACTTTTGCGGTAAGGTTCGTCCCGCTAGAATCTCAGTTCAACATTTTTACGTTTCTGTGGAAGTTAATCCAGTTAAACTGAAATATTACCGGAGAAAGTAGAGGATAATCTTTGAAAGAACAGAAGTTACGTACGAACGCCCCCCCTCCCCCAATTGACGATTTACGTACGACGATATCTAATTCTAAGGCCAAATTCGACTTGCGATCGTGAAATTTCCGGAACAACCGCCAAAATTTCGCTAAATGTTGAACCACAAGGATGTCTATCTGTTATTTTCACATCCCCATACAGGTTTTGTACGAATGAAGTCAGTATATATTTACGTATTTTTTCATGCGAGCGTAGCTAGCGTATAACGTACATTATGAGTTCGGTCAAGAAATTCGGAAAATGAGGGGGGATTTGTAATTTCTACCGGCTGAAATTAAACAAAAATGCTCATAACAACCTTATCTATTCGTAACACGTATAAATATTTCGACCTTTCACCGTAGAAGAGCGTAATTTACCGAAGAAGATGCAGCACCGCTCGATGCCCCAATGGAACCTATTGTGGAAGCCAGCTGAGTATACGTACGCGCCTCGTTTTCGTGCAAGATCACGTGCGTGCGGGACCGCTTTTCAAAATGGCCGCGGAGATTGGAATTACGTCTATTAATCACAGCCCCAAGTACACATATACCAGGGCTTCAAAGACTTTTTCTGAATACCTAAACTGGTGCAGGCAACATGGAAAATTACCTGCACCAGACAAGTTTTACCTGCACCACTTAGAATTTAGGAAGTGTACATCATGCTGAAAAACTGGCTACAAACCATTGATTCTTTCATTCATAGATGTAGGTGGTAACAGTCAATGTACAATGTAGCTAATGAAAATCCACATTCACCATTCCTACATTTTGTACATTTATTTACAAACCCAGTAAATGGACATGTATATGTGAACTTCAAGTGTAAATAGTGTAGTTTTAACAGCATAGGATATGCTTAGAGCAGCTTGTAAGTAATTTTATACTTTTTCCTACAAGAATGCATTCAATAGTTTCATGTACATGTAATATACATGTGACCATTATATCGTCAACAGCAGAATTTGGTACATGTAAAACTAAATGACCACAATGGATAAAACGTAGAAACACTAATAAACACTTGAATGACAGTCAAAATGGCGTACCCTTTTCTGGAAGGTCTAGGTCTATCTTTATATCAAAGTCGTGAGCAGAAAACAGGTCCTCAGAGTGATCGCCCTCCCCTGGTTTGTTCTCCGTACCGGCCGGCCCGTCCACCTCTGACTTGGGCAGCTGCGGCATCTCCTGCAGCTGTTCCTGTGAGGTGGAAGGGTGGACAGCAGGCCTCTGCTGTCACACAACTGTCAATACCTTCACACAGCCCCCCCCCCGAACGTGTACCACCTTCAACATCCGGATCAACAGCATTGTAATTTTTTTTGTTGAAAGTTACTCATAAGTTCTCCTTGCATCTTACTTCTTTTTCCGTGGATAACGAAGAAGCTAGGATGCTAAGTTTCAGACCTTAGTCCTTTCATATCTATTAATCTCTAAAAAAAGGGGGTAGTTGTATACAGTTACAAAGTCCAAAAATTAATGTACCATACCAGGAATCAGGTTTGTAGGACAATGTGCAATATCTATTCACCACAAAAAAACCTGTCCCCGCCTAAAAATGTACTGTTTTTACTGATAATTGTATATTTGTATAAATGTAGCGATGACCACTCACGTTAGGTCCCTGTAGACCTTGGTCACCACCATAGATCTCATTCAATCTCTGGACAATTTTGGCAGACATAGCTGGATCCCTCCCCTGTAAAGAAAACATAGTGTAACATAACTGTAAGCGTAAAGTATTAGTTATTTCACTCCATACTTAAGTATGGAGGGAAATACTGTTTTTACTGATGATTCTCCTCCTTCTTCTTCTTCTCCTCCTGCCATTTCTTTAAATTGATTCAATTCCTTCATTTTTGGGCCAAACGACCTGGAATTTCGTATAAAGGTAGAGTGGGTAAATACCCCTAGGCGTTTTTTTATTTTTTTGATACAAGCTTTTACAATCGTTTTATTTGCGTTTTTAGCTGTTCCCATAGGAAAGTACTGTGGGGCGTACACGCGTGACGTAATAAGAAAGGAATTCGGGGGGCGGGCCCAAATATGGGCATGCAAGCATGAACCTGACGCAGCCTAATCTTTTCTTCTTGCTGATTGGCTGTTGGATTTGATTGGATTAACTCAATTAACACCTGTTCAAAGCCATTCCATTTTGACAGTATGAACTCAAGTGTTTTGGTAGGTACAGCACAGGCCACGAAATACGCATCAATTTTCGAGGGACGTTCTGCGGGAGAGTGCAGGACGCTGTGCGGGACTTCCCTCGGGAGAGTGCGGGACGTCCTCCGGGAGAGTGCGATACGTTCTGCGGGAGAGTGCGGTACGTCCAGCGGGAGAGTGCGGTACGTTCTGCGGGAGCCAGACATTTTGCTCTTCTCTGTTGGAACAACGCAAGTTGGAGGTCAATGACCTGCGCCCGGCGTGTAAACAAGATTGGACAGGGAGCGGCTGTAATATCAAAGGAGCCGGCGGCTTCTGCTAGCCGGGTTGATAGTTAAGTAACATCAAGGTGGTTCAAAAGCAAACCTGATAAAGAAGGAAACCCCGTAGTTAATAGTTGAAAGTCTTGGTGGCTTGAGGCGATCGATACCGCCATGCTGTTTACTTTATATGACATACAATGCAGTGAGTGATGTGTATCGCAACGAGTTAGCTCGGTTGGTAACGCGCCAGACGGCAATCCCAGAAATTGTGAGTTCGAACCCCAGTGCATCGGATATTAACCAGTGCATCGGATATTAACATTTTAAACAATTTTATCATTTTTAACAATTTTATCAGTTTTAACAATTTTATCAGTTTTAACAATTTTAACAATCCTGCATTTTAACAATTTCAACTATTTTTTGATTTTCGTTGTTTTGCTTTTAACATTCAAAAACTGATTGTTCTTACTCAAGAATGTCAATAACTTAGAATGTTAGTCTTTTGTATTTTCCAACATACAAACCAAAATCACTTTGATGTTGTCACAAAAGTATGGAGCTGACAAGAGAGAATGAGTACGGTACTCTGCCAGTGTGAAGAATCTACAGAGGTATTACCAGTCACTAGTAGCAAGAGATAGACCACATTGAATGATGACGATGAGGACGAATCATATGGAGTACTATCATAGCTTAGTACAGAAATTCTACTGCTTTACTTTACTTTACTTTCTTTCACTCTGTACATGCAATTAGCTCACTGGCATGATTTTAAAAATAAAGGTTATGATAATCATATTATATGTATAGCTTATTCAATGTATGGCTTCATAGTTTATGTGATTGTTAATAAGGCCATGTTGATTTGATTGTATGGATGGCATCTGTGCGCGCATCGGTTTTCGTTAATTTAAAACTAAGTTTACGACATTCATACAAAACATCTGGAAACTAAGCAAACATACTCTGTAAATTGATTACTGTAATTCCCGATTTTTTTTCACTGTACCGCAACGTAACGCAAGCAGGAGGTCAATGTTCACGGTTTTCACTGTCACCTCTGTACCGTGAACTTATCTTTACAGTTAGGAAATAATTCCTGGACTTTCTTTTTCCTGCAACTGTCACCGCCGTGAATATATAGTTCCGTGAACATGTCCATGTTTCTCAGACCGTGAAAATTTTGCTACCGTTAGTAGTAGTTGCAATTTCGTCATTAGTAGTATTTAGATACCTGCAATATGTAACTTTGAAATTGAGATAAGTGTAAAGTAAAGCTGTCGAGATTTAAAGTGCTTGTCGTTGTATCTTTGTAAAAAAAAGGGAGATAATGGCCAAGTGCCATTTTTGTAAATATCTGTCGAGATTCAAAAAGCTTGTCCTTGTATGATTGCAGTATGATTTATTCAGAATCTTCTATTTTTGTATGGGGAGGGAGATGGAGTGAAATATTACATTTGCTCCGAAGCAAATGTTGGCCTTTCTAGTTGTGATTAATTTTGATGTATTTCAGTGTTTCATGGGCAAGTTTTAAGCATTTCTTCGCGCGCGCATCCTCTTTTTTGAGCTGTTGACCTTCAACAGTAGTAATTTGAGAGGGTCAGAAGGTCTTTTTGTAGGTCCTTGAGCTGTGATTCACTGAAATGCAAATGGAGACACCAACATGGCAACAGACACTAAACCCAATATGAAGGGGTATTAACTGTTGTAGAGTTCAAGCTTTGTTCCAACACAAGAAAGGAACTCACCATAAGCTTTCGGACGAAAATTTATGGTCAGTTCCTCGTGTTGGAGAAAAGCATGAACTGGAAACGCAAATGAGCTTTTATTCCAATATGAAAGTGATTTACATAGACAGGAATTTCTTTCTATCTTACAATATTGCTTTCCTTTTCTCAGGAAAATTGGGCAGAGGAAAGTTCACTGTTACATGCCTTGCTAATGATGGTGGGGGTGCAGTTTCTGCGGCGGAAACAGTCCATCTTCTGGGTTCGGAGTTCCTGCATCTCTGTCTTAAACGCCTCCTCCGCCTGGACCAGGTTGCGTTCTCGGTTACGTTGGTTGATGTAGCTGGGCAAGGACATGAACACATTTAAATCAATCTGGTCTCAACAGCCTGTCTAATACAATGAATCAACAATGCAACAGGTTGGGAACAACATCCCTGTAAAGAAAGCAGCTAGAAAGGTAGCCTTACAAACTACTTCTCTGTTTATTCTCACTCAAACACATTCATGCATATGGTGACCAGCCCCTCTAACTCTGTCCTGCAACTTGCCACATAATGTAATTTATCCTATAGCGTTAGCTACTATGGTGATAGCCTCTGATGAAGGTCATTATTTTGTGGAACGGAAGGTGATCAGAAACAGGGCAAAAACAGTATGTTTTCCTCCTGCAAAAGTGAACATATCAATAACATTAATACTAAATTTAAGTAAAGTAAATCTAAACAATAACATAAATCAATTTGAAGACAGACATAGTTACCTGATAGCTGAGATGTTTTTCTGGCGGAGACGGTTCAGCTCTTCAGCCCTCTCTTCAAGTTCCTCTAACTTGTCTGACAGAACCTGCATTACAACAGTAACGTTTAAAAAGCCAACTCTTAAACAGTCCGTGAAAACAGTCCTGGAACCATATTCTATAGTTATCTATAATTGAAATTACATTTCAAAACAAGTGACAGTACTTCAATGTCAAGGAGGAGCCCCATTTCCACCAGACAGCTGTATCACATTCACCCACCTTAGCCTTGTCTGTGTCCCCCGATGCCTCTGCCATCTCCTTCTCTTTCATCAATGCTGTTTTCTTCATCGCAAAGTTGTATGGTGATTTCTGGAATCTCTCTTTCTCTTTGACAATCTAGGATAGAATGAGTTTTTTTATAAAGCATTTCTAGTACCACCGTCCACTTTTTTACCTGCCAAAATTTTGTAATGCTCAGGCTCATTGCAGCATGTAACGTTATGGAACTGAACTCAATGACTTTAAAGTAAAATGATTGTCATTTGTCACCAACTTGAGAACATTCAAATAATTTTCCACCTTTAAAACAATAGGTGTTTTCCATCATTGATTGAACGACAAAGACACAGGCAAGTAACAAATGATTGGATGGCACAATTATGGTACCATGTAATGGAAACTTTTGAGACTCAGGTTTAATGACTTTTTCCAAACTGAACAATATCTATCATACATGTAGCCCCTTAGGAATCATTCCTTATTATTATTAGCTCAATTTTTTTTTTTTTTTTTTTTTAACGGTATCGCTCAATGCAAGGCCAATTAGATTTGGCCACTTCTAGGCATAGAGCTAGAGGTACTTAGGGGAGTATATTGTAGCTATGTCATGAGATGGCGGTGGACATTTGTTTTGAAGCTTTGTAGATTGTAATCGGACGGAAAGCAGCTGTTTGGAAGAGAGTTCCATAATTTTGCAGTCCGGGGAAAGAAGCTGTTGTTGTAATATGACTTGGAGACAGGTATGTTAACGGTGTATTGATGAGAACTGGAAAGAAATGAAACTTACTGCCTCAATATCATCCTCCTTGAAGTCGTACTTCAGTGCTTGCTGTATATCATTGTATTTGGACTCCACTTCATCCATGAAGGGCAACTGAAAGCCTTTAGTCATCATCTGTTTGGTGATGGGGAGGAAAAAACTTCTTTCAAATTGCCACTTGGATTTCATACTCTTCTCATAATAACTTACAGTATGTGTTCTTTACGAGCACTTTGTATAATGTGACTAAATTCTTAAAAAATTGACAAGGATTACATGAAAGTAAGTGCAACTTAGTTCAAATTCAGGTTTTACATATAGCATGAGCATGTTAGAAAAGTGTAGGAGGCACAAAATGTATCTCATAATGGAAGCGGGTTTTGTGTTACAAGGGATCTGGGTTGACTTCTTTGAAAAATGTACTGTACAATACAAGATAAAAAGAAAACATTTCCTAAGTGTGCTCAATAATCATCCCCCTCCCTGCTGCCTAACCATAACCAATACAAATTTGGTACCAAATGGCTACCTTAGCATGCTGAAGGTTAAAGATAATATGATGATATACCTCTTCCCTCCACCTGAGAAACTCTGACTCTGTAAAGTCCTGGTTGGAGACAAACTCCAGTCGGAACACTCTTTCATCCGTTGCATGCCTGTAGTGGGAAATGTGATCATTGTAACTTCAGGGACAGAAGTATTGTTTATTGGTTGTTTAATTGATAGTTTGTGTGTTTGTGTCAAGTCTCCACTAGGGCCTGGGGAATCGAGTCATTTGAGCTTGAGTGTCACAGAACACTTTTCGCATCCTATTCCTAAGGAATTTATGCTATAATTTACACGAATGTATAGTGAATATCTGTTGTCCTCAGGAATTATGGAGATTGATTTAATGGCTCCTCATAACTTAAACAGGTCTTAGAAATGCCTGCCCAACAACAAAAACAACCCTGGCATGCTATTACTGTACTCCTGTACTGTATAAACAAAGAAATCATTTCAGTCTGGCAACATAAAACAGCTAATGGAAGAAACTACAATTCCGTATACGTTTCTTTAAATAAACACCACATACAATTAACATTCAATCATTGCAATCATGGCCTTGTTCCAAAACCTACCTGAGCCTGAGCCCCTTATTGGTGCGAGTGCTGCCCAGCTGGTATACTTTAGCCGTCTCTACAACATCAATGATCTCTGCAATCTGAAGAAACAAAAAAATCTCCTTCATCCCCTTTACCTTGGATTATCATTTACTAGATTGGCACTGGTGAACAAGAATGCACAATTGCAAGTTGACTTGCAGAGGGAAGAAACTTACTCTGTAGACAGGTTTTCCATTGTGGTTTCCAATGCCGATCCTTACATAACAACCGGCGACTGCTTTCTTGAAGAATGGCATATGGCACCATCTGGGAAACGTCAAAACGGTAAATCATTGATGCTGCAACGTGCAAGCATGTCATGGAGTTATGATTCACTGAAATGCAAATAGGGACACCAACATGGTGACAGACACACCCCCATGAAAATACTCATAGACATCTACTTTACAATATTGCCTTCCTTTTCACAGAAAAAAGGGCAGGAGAGGAGAGGGTTCACTTTCACAACTGGACCAAGAAGAAAAACTGTGTCACTGTGAATAACTATATACTGATGTAGACAGACACCATTATAGACACAGGCATGTGGCTCACCTCTCCAACTTGTGTCTGGAAAGCCGGATTCGGTTGATGTCGTCTTTACTACTGATCATCTGTGGTCGCTTCTCTGTCCTGCAAGACAAACACAAAGACTTTCTTTAACCTAATTTTGAGTGGTAAAGGTATATAATCAGTCTAACAGATATTTTTTTTATAGCTTGATAAACAAGCACTTTGAATGATGTTGATCTGAACATAAGGCCTAGGAAAAAATGTTATGTTTCCTGTTTCAGTCCTGAAAAAGTAAGGTCGGTAGGTTACAGGATTAGCATTTTTTTCTTTCTTTTTTTATAAGTCTACTTTGGCAAGCTCTAGTGATTGAACTTGCATGAGGACACTTATATTTTCAATGTCAATGTGTTGGAAAACCGATTGTACAACTCAAATGTCGGATCATGGAGCTAGAAAAGATCGATCAGCTCAAAAAATGTATGCCCCTTGCAGGGGTCCACCCAAAAAAAAAGGCTAGGGTCAGCAGCTTTTTCTAAGGTCGGTTGGAAAACAGGAAAAGCAACATTTTCTTTCCAAGGCCTAATGGCAAACGGTATCCTCTAACTTACTCTTCCTCCTCCTGGTCAGATACAGCGTAGGAGGCATCGCTCTTCGACACCTCGGACTCATCTGAGCTGCTGTCACTGTCATCATCATCACTGTACACATCACTGGCCTTCAGGGGGGGCTTCTTGGCCTGTAGGGCTTCATCTTAGGGGCAAAACAACCTAAGGTTAGTCTCATGTTTTCAAAAACTGTTGGATTGCCTTGTACATGGAGCACTATTTGACTCAAAGCCACAAGCGTGTTTATGCTTTTGAGTGTAATAAAACATTAAAATGTCAACACACAACAGATATTAATAATACACTAACAGCACCCTTTTCTGCTTCTGTAAAGCAGATGCTCATCTCTTTAAGGTATTATATAATTTTGTTTTTACATAAACTTTATTTCAATTCTCGCTGACACACATTATTAGATTTACTTCTACAATTTTAAGTTTTTCTGTTTTTTTTTCAAGCTAAGAAAATTTTCCAACTATGCATGCATATTCAGGGTATACATGTTTTTGATTGTAGGTCTTTTAAACGTGACATAATCTTAATAGAATCTCTGTGAATAGCTCGAGTTTTGGGCGCACAAAAGTGCATATATATGCACCCAGTTTTTCGACCTTGATGCCCTACTCCATGTATACTGACCAGTCCATTCTCCGGGAGGAACCAGACCTTCAGTAGACAACATAAACGACGACGGGCAAACGGAGAAAACAAATAGGAAAGGAAAATAAAGTTTACCGGTGAAATAAAGAGACAAGTATGTCACTCCATACTGTGAAACAAGAGACAAAAGAAGGCAAAAGATGCACAGCTTTGTCAAGATACATGTATGTTCTGATTTTCAAGAATTGAAAATGAATTGGCAATTAGAGAAAGAATCTGTGCACCAACAACATACTTTTCTTCTGCTTCTGCTCTCTCTGTGCCTTGAGTTCTTCAATGGCTAGAGACTTCTTGTCCTTCTTGGAGTCGACGGTCCGCCGGCGTTCCTTACTCCGAGTGGCGGTGGCTGAAGCTTCCTCCTCTTCGCGCTGTTTCTTCTCCTTTTCCCTCCTCTTCTTCTTCTGTTCTTTCTTTGCCTTTCGAAGTTTCTTCTCAATTTCAAATCTGTGAGGCAATGATAACAGATCATCATGTTAACCAGCAAACTGCATCAAATGGACACATGACAAAGGCATCATGGTGAAAGATATTTTTCCTACAGACCATCTCAATCAGCAAAAGGTGCTTACTAGAATACATACTGCCATTGCTGTTTTCAAAGGCATATACTTTTTAAGCAATGTTACCAGTGCGTCAGCAGAATGTACCACACGAAACCCCAATTTTTTGGTTTTCGTTGGATGTTTGGTCAACATTGCATCAGAATTTTGCCTGTTGAAGACATCCTACCCCCAGTATAGATGGGATGTCATCCTTAAACACGTGAATATGACTTTAAAAGAGATATTCTACCAAAGCAATATGAACAATGCATATAGGTTTGCTAACATGCTTATGTAACTTATATCTCTTACCTTGTCTTCAGGACTTCTCTCTTTTCAATCCTGTTGAACAGCTCCTGTTCTCTCTCCTTTTCTGTCATCTGCTCCAGCCTGGCCCTGTCCTCGTCATCTCCCATCAGGTCGTCGTCGTAGCCATCGTTGAACTGTTCGTTGTCCGACCCGCTCCCCGAGTCAGAACCACTGTACGAGCTGCTGCTGTCAGAGTCAGAAACTTCTCCTGAAGGAGAAACAAGTGAGCGTGAGTCAGGATCAATGCTGCAGCAAGAAATACTGTAAAAGCAACAAAAGCACTCTTTTCCCAAGACTAAAGATGCAATGTTCTTGTCTGCCATGTTTTCGGACCACCCCGTAGGTGTAGCCAAAAATGAAGTCCCTGGTAAGGAATTGCATTTGTGGACTCTTGCATGGGTGAAATTTTAAAAACACTTCCAAATCAGGATACTACATCATGTAGTATCCTGATTTGGAAGTGTTTTTAAATTTTGCTGTAACCACAGGCAGACTATTTTATACATATAGTATATGTATAAAGTAGTCTGCCTGTGGTTACAGCAATGGGTGTACAAAATGTATGTCTCAAACAACAACCACTAGAAAGCTTTAAATAACTCTTGCAATCAAATGTGCAAAGATTGAGTGTAACAAGTCTTTCAGTGTGATATAGCTAGCTGCCGCCACGCCGCGTGCCTGAGAAGCTGGTGTGTTATGCCAAAGGGCAGTTATACCGGCTATATCGATACAGATAGTCAGATACAGACATTCCTGATGTGGAAACTACAAAACCTGTGTATCTAAATCTGAAACCTAAGAATATTTGCCTGATATTAGTGATAACTTTGTGATAAAACTTACCTTCTTCGGGTTCAGAGTCCTTCTCTGAGTCGGAGCTGTCTGACAGGGCTCGTCTCTGTTGCTTTTTCCCTGCCTTCCCCTTTCCCTTCTTCTTACTTTTACTGCCATCTAGGGTCCACTGGAGTACATAGAGGCAGATTCACAGGTGTTACTCATCATTAACATTATGTCTAGACTAAAGGCACAGCAAGATGCCAACAATAGATTTTTTAAATAGTTGCCACAATTTCCCCAAGCTGTTACCCGCATAATACCCGGTACTATCTAATAGAAGACCACCAAAAGAGTGTATGTTTCTAATGTACTAAGATCACAAAACATTGCATCACATTGCATGATGTTCGACTATTTATTATTCACTGCCTTCAAAGAAGTCAAATCTTTGACACTGTACATGTAGTTAGCCTTCGGGCATGATGGCGCAAATAAAAAGTGATTGTACATGTACCATAGAACAACTTGTAACTGTGTCCCATTGTTGAACAACTGACAATCTTTGCAAAATGCCTAAGTTAATGACTACAATTTGTAGTACCTTTACAGTAATTATTGTACTGTAGTGTACTGTACATTCATTAGGGAAAGGGCTTACGTCATCATCATCATCTGATGTCTCTGACTCTGACGAGACGGGAGCGGGATCTGGTTTCTCCTCCGGTTCTGGACTACTTCTCTTCCTCTTGGCTAGTTTGGACCACTCCTACAGTGCAGAACACAAGGTGGTACATGTATCGATCAATACCAGAGCTCCTGCTGCAGTACCTTAGAAAGCTGCTAGGGTGGCCATAATCTAATCATGATTCTTCTTCAATTTGCCAACATACCAGATATCATAAAGATCTTCCACAACTTCTGTTAAAAGACATACACACAGGCAACCAGGCCCCAAATCATAACCTTTCTTGACTAAAGGTGACAATTTAAGGGAACAAGGACGGAATCATAAATTTATCATGTGTTGAATGGTTTGTGTCACTTGTTGACTGGCATTATCATTCTTCCTTCCTCTTTTGAGTCAATGCATTGGTTGGGAGGGTGGGAAATGACTGGTAAGTGTGAACAAGTCGAGCAAAATTTTAGTATGTACAGGTATGCAACATATTTTTTCCTTCGTAAAATCAGTGGTGCGGATTTTATTTTAATACAACGCAAAACTAGCTTCCGTGGCAGAAAGATCCCTAGTCCCTACGTAAGACAGACGCACACACAGCACCAGCAATTGGAGACTGTGGTGATTTTTCACAGCCATATATACTTGCACGATGTCACTTTCAAAATCTCAGCATACATATCTAGAGGCGGCCATGTTCAACAAAGCACGCACTGCTTAGTCGCTGCTTTTTACGGCATCACAATCCCTACGGACACACTTTTCTCACAAAATTTGGGCTACAGTAGTTTATACATAAGGTGGAAAGCCCACCTTGTCCAAATCCTCATCACTACCGCTGTCATCACTGTCAGAATCGAGCAAAACTTGGGACTTCTTGCGTTTCACCATCCTGATCGTCCCTAATGTTTGCCACTTCCTTCCCACAATCCTCTGGGCGAAATCTTATGACGCATGCGCAGTAGGAAAGGTCAGAGAGCAGCGTTCCCGTCATGCAACGCTCCCCAGGAACAACCACTTGGGCAGGTGAGAGGGGGGATATCAAAGCGTCTGCTTTCTCGTCTTATTAAATATCACAGGAATAAAATATTTCTATTGAAGTACTGTATGAAAGACGAACGTCATGCAATCTAGAACGCTCAACCTTTGTGGCTGATGTATTTGCCGCAGTGACTTCCAAGCGAGAGCGATCTGACAGTGGAGTGTCGAGTCTGCTCTGATGACAGGTTTATTGTTGACATGGCCACCGTACACAGATGTGTCACGAGATGATAAACCAAGGACTAAAGGGCTATCTTAAGCAAATGAACCGCGCTGACACATCACGAGTGTTGCTGGCCAGTTTTTCAATCATCAGGATGGTGAACCTAGCCTTTCTTGCCCCCCATTGAGAACAGTTCTAGATCTGGATCTACAAGTCAACACCTGATACTGATAGAGTTTTTGGAAGATAGACATCATGAATGAAGAGGACGTGAAGGCGGGGTATGTGCACCAGTATGCGATTGAAGTGGTGGACTTTAGCTCCCAGTATGGCTATGATGGCAGCATGTCCTATGTGGCCTCCAACCTGTCCGGGCCGCCGAACGTCTATCCCGGGTACGGTGACTTCACCCAGGCTTGTGTATTTCGAACCTATGGACCTTGGTGGAAGTGTTGTCCATCAGCACGAAAGCCCATCAACCGCAGCCCTATAACATTCCGCAGCCAGGACTACATCGAACTCTTGTTTGAGGAGAGGGTGTATCCAAGTCGGATTGACATCTTTGAAACCTACAACCCTGGCTCCATCGTGAAGATCCTGGCATGTAACACCTCTCCGAAGGACTTTGCAGAGCTGGATCCTCCCGAGGAGGTGGAGTGGGTGACGCTGTGGTCTGGACAGCCCGAGGGTTTACCCGCCAGGCCCAGAGAGTTCTCACCGCCTCTCAAACCGTGTCCGTTCGCCACCAATCTCATCCGCCTGGAGGTCAACCAGAAGCTGCTGGAATACTACACAGAACTGGACGCTGTGAAGCTGTACGGTGTCCTGGAGTGTAAGGAACTTCAGAACTCACCAGCACTTCCCAGCAGGCATGTCTACCCTGACCCAGGGATTTCCGCAACACAGAAGATGCTCAGGGACTTGATGCTCGTTGACAAAAAAAGTTCTCCCGGGAATAATGGTTACTTTGACATGCTCCCTAGCGAGGTTATCCAGTTGATACTTAGTTATCTGGATATGCCCAGCCTTTGTAATGCAGCCCTGTCCTGTAGCTTCTTGATGCACCACTGTTACGACCCGCTTCAGTACACAGGCTTAGACTTGCAGCCTTACTGGTCCCAGGTAGATGACTATGTACTAAAGTGCCTTCAGATCCGTTGTTCACATCTGCAGCAGTTAAGTCTGTCCTGGTGTGGTCGATATGACATGATAAAGGGTCCTACTTTTATCAAGTTTCTTGAGCACTGTGGCAGTGAGTTGACATGCCTTAGGCTCTCGTGTTCTCGATTTCTCTATGCAGATTGTCTAAGGGCCATAGGGTTAAACTGTCCACTGTTACAGGAGCTTGACCTGTCATCCTGCACCTACCTGCATGACACAGCCTTCCAACAGGTGGCAAACTTCACGTCCTTACGAAGGTTAAATCTCTATCGAACCAGCGTCACTGGTAGCACGGTCAGATCTATCATCAGAAGCAACCCAGGCTTAGAGTATTTAAACCTGGGAGGTTGTAAGAGTTGTGATGGCATGGACGATGTTGCCATTGACCTTGCTCAGCATTGTCCCCAGTTGAAGGCTGTAGATTTTTGGCGCTGCAGGTCTCTCACCAACATTGGGCTGAGGGCGCTGGCCAGCGGTTGCAGCTTGCTGTTGGAACTCGACCTCGGCTGGTGTCCCGAGTTGCGTTCCAACACAGGCTGCTTCGTGTACCTAGCCCAGAGCTGCCACCTGTTGAGAAAGCTGTTTGTCACGGCCAATCGCACTGTGAGTGACAACGACCTCTTTGCCCTTGCCAAGCACTGCAGGGACTTGGAACAGCTGGACATCCTTGGGACACGTATGGTGTCTCCGGACGGTGCCCTGGCTGTTCTGAATTCATGCAAGAAGCTGTCCTTCTTTGACGTGTCCTTCTGTCCTCTGCTAGACTTTGCTATGATTTATAAATGGAAGATGGCATTCCCTGACGTTGCTCTTAGAAAAAGCTTCCAAAACACATAGACTTCTTTGATTAGCAGTTCCAAGTTTGAAGGAAGCATATTCAATGTACACTAGCCTCTACCAGGCCTTCCCAAAGGCAGGAGTAACCATTGTGGATAGTACAATTGAGCAAAAATTGGGTCCATTGTTGGCTGAGTTGCAGTAAGGGTAACATTTCATTTTTGCACGGGAAAATGAACTCTATGGTGGCCAAACTACCCTCCTGGCAAATATTGCTCCTTATTTTTCAGCTAGCATTTTAATTGTTAGTCTGGTGGAGACTAATATTCTGCAGGAAAAGACGGTTGTTCAAATGTAGATTTGGTTTATTAAATTTAAAAGAAGTCAGTAACCAGATCTGTATCGGTATAGCCGGTATAACCGCCCTTCGACGTAACACACCAGCTTCACAGGCACGCGGCGTGGCGGCAGCGAGCTATATCACACAGAACGACTTGTTACACTTAATCTTTGCACATTTGATTGTAGCCTATGTAACCCAAGCTCCGGGGGCTCCCTACATAGTCCGCCACCCGGCTGGATGTTAGGCGGCCGGCAAAAGCGATTTAATCAGGCTAATTTGATTGCAGGAGTTGTTGAAAGCTTTCTAGTGATGATGCCCCAACTGTGCTTGGTGGCAACGAGTTCCAGTCTACGATAGTTCTGGGGAAATACGAGTTTTTGAATACCTCAATTCTCGGTTGATAACTCTGATATTTGAAGGCATGACTGTACAGATGATACAGTATTTCATATGATTGTGATGATTTTTCTGCTGTGTACAAAATTCTGTCAGATAATCAAGATATTTTAATACCTATATGTATTCTCAAATTTTATGGAACATGGAGACAAACTATGCAAGTGTATTTGTTTCACAAAGAAAGAGTATATAATTTAAAATGGCATGTTGTATGCAATCATTCAATGTTAGAGATTTTAGCTTTTCATGTTAAAAGATGTTATAGACTGTAATAACCCCCTCATTATATGTATAAGTTTATCATCTGTATGCAAAAAATAATTTTGCATATTTTTGTAGCAAGGACGTTTTGTAAAACGTCCTTGATTGTAGGAAGAGGAATATAAACCCATTAATGGTGAATATTGATGATAATGGTGATCATAATAAAGAGACCTACAAAAGGAGATTATCATGAAGACTTGTCTGTCATCTATCTGTCTATGTAGCTAACATTGGCACAAGTTAGACTTCAATCTAAGAGGAACAATTTTTCTCTGTAACAGGTGGTTGTTCAACACCTGAAAACTTTATACTAGTAGTTTGATCATCACAGATTAATTTGCATTTACAGCAAGGGAGCTACATCTAGTATGAAAATGTTAACATGTTTCCCTATTTCGATTGCACATTTCAATTGAAAGCCATATCATGATTTATAAGACTAAGTATTCATATGGAAACTTCACGTCACCTGGACAAATTAACAGTCCCCTCTTACAAGAATGGGACATTCCAAAAACGTCATGTAAACAATCACGTGATCTTTGTTTTCTTGATGCAATCGATGAGGTCAGCTGAGTCGGATGACACAACAGATCTCTCAAAATAGCGATCAGGATTTTGGGTTTTACCCATCGTATGAGCCAAAATGCCCGGCCCAGAGAAGACTAAAGCCTCGCCCGGACCCTTGGGTAACGTAGGACACGTCTGTCAGGAGAAATTCGCGTGTACGGGGTCTCAGGCGGTGTACGAGTGTGAGGAGTGTGGGACGATGCAGTGTGAGAACTGCGAGGCACAGCTGCACGAAACGGCCAAGTTTGTTTTCCACGACAGAAGGCGGCTGAAGCAGGGCGAGCCGGGCCGGTGCGATCTTTGGTGCGATCCTCACAACCGTGCCGTGCTCTGGTGTGAACAGTGTAAGGTGAACGTGTGTGCTGCATGCAAGAAGAAACAGTTGGTGAAGTGCACCCGCCGCAGCCACAAGCTAGTGCAGCTCGCACCGGACGAACCGCCACCGGTCGATCCTGAAACGGTACCCCGCCTAGACGCCGATGGCTCGTCAGATGAGGCCGAGGTGCTGGCTGATGCCCTGACTAGCCTGCCCCTTCCTACCCTCGGAGAACCGCCCACATTTCCCACAGAAGGGCCGGGCCTGACCGCAGCGAGCGGGGACCAGGTGGCCACCCTGGCACCCAACGTAGATGTCCAGTCATTCTTACTGGTGGACGAGTTTGAAAAATTACAGGTGGGGTTCATGTTGATCTTTAAAAGGAAATTATGTCTGTAAGATGTAAATGATACGCGACAATTCAAATAGTATATCCAAAATTTGTAGAATCCTGCACATTCTGCACAGGCCAGTCCCAAACTAATAATATCATCAAGGTGTTTGGAGGTCATATAATTTGGTGAGTTAAACGTTTAACAGTTAAATTTCTAAGGGAAAGATCATCATCAAAATAATGTACGACTTACTATTTTCAAAGCTTGGATATTGAACAACAATAATAGCCTATAAGGGAACTTGGTAGGAAGGCATTACAAATTTAGTAGGTGTAGACTGCACTGTTGTACTTCACATTGACTATATTGACTTCACTGTGCACACTACCAGCACCAGTTGGGGCCATTGTTTGAAAACAATGGGAAATCCTTTCGTCCGTTACAGGTATTGCAATACTATTGAGTATTGAGGGTAACTAGACAGGCTCTCTGAAGTTGAGATGCAATATTGTTACTAAGTAAGATGACACACTGTTCTTTGGACTGCATTATGTTATTCCCATAGTCTGAAAGTCAAATATCCAGGCTATTAAAAAAATGCAGAAATGTAAATTTGGGTGGAGACACCAAAATCTTCTAGTTCTATTGTAGCTTATGTCTAAATGCCGTTGCCATTGGTGCCCAACAAGTTTCTCTGTTACTGGTGTTAGGACCAAAATTAAACCTACTTGTATCTCAATCACACAAGTCCACAACTAAAAAAAATAAAGTAGGGACAGTCCCGACTGTTATTCTTTTATGTGCAGGGAAACGTTGAAAATCAATCACTGCTTGACACAAATATTCCACCTTGTTCCATACAGGTTGCTAATGCTGAGGAGTTTCTGAAGAAGCTGGGCTGTGACTCCAAGGCTCTGGTGAAGGTGGTGTCTATATTCGGTAACACGGGTGATGGCAAGTCCCACACCATGAATGCTACGTTTTTCCACGGCTGCCAAGTCTTCAACACGTCCTATCACCAGTCCTCCTGCACGGTGGGCGTGTGGGCTGCCTTCGACCCTGCAACGCTTACCATCACCGTGGACACGGAGGGGTTGCTAGGGGTGACGTCCAATCAGAATCAGCGAACCAGACTGCTGCTGAAAGTCCTGGCGATCTCCGACGTCATTATCTACAGGACGAGAGCGGACCGACTGCACAACGACTTGTTCCGTTTCCTCGGGGACGCCTCGTGCGCGTACCAGCAGCACTTCACCCAGGAGCTGAGAGCTGTTTCTGAGAGATGCAGGATGGATGTTCCCCTCTCCACACTGGGGCCGTCTGTTCTCATCTTCCATGAGACTCAGCATACTGAGGTCCTGGGAGCAGGTACTGTACATCAATGTACTCTCAGTGTTTTTTTTAAATTGTTTTTGCTCTGTTTCTTCTTCCTTTTCCTGTTCTTCCATTCTAAACAAGTAAGATTAATCACCTGGACCAGATGGCTGTAACTATGCTAACCAGTGCTGTAGCAGACCCCCTGTAATGTTGGATTACATAATGTAGCAAGTGACAGGACAGAGTTGGAGGGGCTGATCACAGAGGGGTTGCTAGGGGTGATTTTGGCTTGTCCATGTGAAGGTCAACATTGTGTGTACATTGATTTACTTTGCAAGTTTCTAGTTAAGTTTATGGTTTACTTGCAATTGGTGACCTCTATCTTGCTCTAAATGCATCACACCACAAACATAATGAATGACTGTGCTGAACAAGAGTTCTAACACCTTTCAGACCAGCCACGTGACTGCCATGGCCAGCCGTCCAAGACACCTGAAATGCTGTTGAAGGAACGTTTCAAAGAGCTGAAGCTTCACCCCGATGCTTTCAGCTCCATAGAATACATTGGGACCAGGACACAGACACCTCCGACTGATTTCAAAGGCCTGCAGGCAGCCGTCAAAAAACACCTGAGTAACGGCACTGTCCGCTCGCCTCGATCACCTTCTGTGATCTTTCAGGCACTGAAGGTAAGGTCGTTTGTTATGTTTTGGTCGATTTTATTTGTGGGTCTAGACTACGTGTCATCCGATTTGTAACAGGGCTCCTTGCACACACTGGCCTGAAAAATAATGGGAGTGGAAAATTAGTTACAAATTGGATGATAACCAGGCTAGTTTTGGTCCTGAATGAATTGAGTGTGTGAATGGTGAAGAAGAAAACTACGTTCTGACACCCCTATCTAAGTTCCGATATTTTATTATAAGGAACTTGTCGGAACATAAGGGTGCAGGAGCATGAGATGTACAATGTCATGTACCTTCCATTCAGGTTTCATCCATTTACAGATTATTATTTACTAATTGGAGTTAGGCCACAGACATTGACAGTATTACGATGCTCCAATAATCAGTTGATGACGAAAGTTGTTTTTTTCCCCGACAGGTTCTGAATGAAAAGTTCAGCGGTGACATCGAGCGCTCGGTACCCAGCACATTCCCAGATGCCTACTTCACCTGTGGATCAACATGTATGTCTTGCAGGTGAGAAAAACATGCGTGGAATAACTTCTTCTTTGGAGGGTATGTTTGATATATTGTAGCCTCTGGCATAAAATCCCTGCCTGTTAAAAAACCTACCACACTTACCAAGAAGAGCAGGGTATATGTACATTACAGGCTCATCCCCTCTCACCATTTTCCAATGATGATCATTTCCTGTGATCATGACTTTGCTCTTGCCTTCTGCAGTGCCAGGTGCAGCCTGAGCATGAGCCACGAGCAGGACGACATTCCTCACAAGTCAGGCGACAGGTGTCAGTACCAGCATCAGTACGACGACAGGATCTACACCTGCAAGGTTCGTTCACCCTTCCACAGTCTGCCAGAGAGCTGTTAGTGTTATAGCATGAGTTTCCTCTCCTGGATGTCTGTTATGATTGCAGCTGTACAAAAGCCTAATGGTGCTTTCTTGACGAAAATTACTGAGTGTCTGTAGTTTTAAATTTGTGCATCATTATAAAATGTTACAGTTCTCTGTGTATGCATCAAATGGCTCATACTTTTTGCTGCATGCCAGCATTCAAAATTACCTACTTACACCAGACAAGTTCTTTTATCTTTCAGTTCATGAAAAGATTGAAATGTAATGAAAAAAAATTCCTAGTACATGTAGCACCATTATTGAATTTTTTTCTTCTCTATTGTCTTCAAGGATGATACTTTGAAGAATTCAAGGCAATTTTTGACCAACACCACTCATATGTTATTCTGGTGTGTGGGGCTAGTTTTGAAATGGCCCAGTACAGGTTAGGTGCAGGTAGACATCAGAAATACCTGCACAGCTCCAATTTTACCTGCACTAACCTGCATTTTGAGCCCTGCTTCACCAAACATACCTGTGTACAACATGACTTGGAATCTGATGTCCCCCCCTTTCCAGGAGTGTTTTCACAATGGGAAGCAGGTTGTAGTGGTGCCTAAGGTGGCAGCTGCTTCTGATTCTACATGGTTTGGACTGGCCAAGTACGCCTGGTCTGGGTAGGTACAGCTGATTCCTCATAATTGTCCTTACTTTATCAAGTTTATGGCAAGACACAAAAGAATTAGACACGTGAAAGTTACCAATTGAAAAACAGTTTTATGTCAAAAACCCTGTAAAACTTGTCAAATTTACAGTCTCAAACTGTGCCGTTTTGTAAGAACAATGTTCTACCTAGCCAGAGTGTCAGCCTTTTTAGCTTTTCTTCACTCCCCACAATTCACTACCAGCCAATCGAATCGTGGGGAGCTGACAAAAGCGTAAAAGGCTGACACTTGGGCTATGTTCTACCCATGCACCAGGTATGTTTTGGAGTGCCCCAACCACGGGATCATCTATCGCAGCCGGCAGTACTGGTACGGGAACGCTGACCCTGTGGACAGTGCAGTGCGTACAGAGATCAGGCATGTGTGGCCAGGGGTAAGAACCTTTCCTGTTAGATAACCAAGGTTCAGTTTTTCCTGCAGCAAAGAGGCACTGCTTCATTCTAAAGCAGTTTGGCATAATAAAAAAGCCCAGCAAAACTTGCCTTGGCTAAATATTCTTTTGCTATTACATGTATTAGTAAGATTGCTGTTAGTGTAGCCATCACTAAATACCGTGTACTTATAGATGACTTAATAATATCTAAACAGCATTAAACTGGAGACCTCTGGGGAAAAGGAAAGACCCAAAACCACTTTGAGAAGAACTAGTAATGAGTTAAGAAGATTATAATTCTGGTGATAAGATTAGAAGATGGACTGAAATGGAAGGAAAAAGTCATGGTGTTATGTCTTCCTAGGGATGAAGAGGATAAGTGAGTACTACTACTTGAAGTTACATGTATAGTGTAGCCGCAGTAATAAGCAGATTTCAGCAAATTTATTTTTAAGGAAATCCTGACTGCTGTTTGTCCGCAGGGAGCCCGTGTGCTTCAGGGCACCCACAACGCTGCTCGGCGGCTGATTGACGGGGTGCACCACGTGGCGGGCACCGTGGGCGAGCTGAGCGCAAAACCGTCCAAGATGCTGGGCAGCTGGGTGGCCGACCAGATTGCACCGGCCTATTGGGTGCCCAATGCAAGAATCACGGTGAGTTGTGTGGTTGGCTAATGTTGTTTCTTCAAGCAGTTGTAATAAAATGATTTAAAGCATCCGATAAGCTGATAGTTTGTATTGTCTCCTACTCCAGAATTATCAGTCCTACATAGTAATGTTCTTTTACTACTACTAGTTTTAGTATAAAAACTAGCCTGACTGAATAACATTTCCAGCAGCCATGGACAGATTTACACAGACTAATACATTTTGAAAAGAATTGACTTTCATGTTTTATTTTTAATTCAAAAGTGAACAATCCAACTGAATGTGTCAACTTGCTATACCAAGCTGAGTTTCATATTAATAACTCTCTTCTTTGGTTAATTTCTTTTGTCATCATCAGCTGATGCTTTTTGAGCAGCTACTGGTGTGATGCGGTTATGGCTCGCATATTTAGCCAAGCACACTTACACTTGGTACTTGGTCACCCCTACTCTTCTCAATAAGTGTGCTGCGTTATTTTCTTTATACAGTAGTACCACTGACATGTACATTTACTGCCTTTCAGAAATGCCAGGGTTGTAAGCATGAGTTTGAGCCCACAGAGACGAAGCACCACTGCCGGGCCTGCGGACAGGGCTTCTGTGACGAGTGTTCGTCCAAGCAGCTGCCTGTACCAGAGCGGGGCTGGGGGGAGGCTCCTGTACGGGTGTGTGAGTCCTGCTACAAGGAGAGAACACAAGCTGGTAGGAATTTAAGATATAGGTGACACAGGGTGGATGGTTGGTGTAAAGATAAGGATAAAGGTAGTCCGTAGCCATTTTGAGGCCATAAGGGCAGTGGATTGTTGATCCGTTGTCCAGGGCACGGTAATTTGAGGCAGAGCTCATCCCTGTCCTTCCACTCCCCAGTTAAAGCATTTTACACCTGAGTGGAGTAAGGACAGTCATGTAAATTGCCTTTTTGAAAGACAAAACGTCTAGCCAGGAATGTCAGGATACCTGTGACCTCTCTATGTTGACCTAGCCACTCAATGTCACTCATGTTAAAGTTGCTAAGTGTAAAAATATCAGTTTCTACACACTGTACTCCTTTAACAGTAGCAAGCGAACTTTCCATCTGATCTCAGTGACAAATAGCCTAGGGACCAAACCTATTTTAGCTGCTGTGTCCTGGACTTGTAGTAAATATTGTGCCATTGTCATGGTTAAAGTCAGGTTAGGGTGTATGGTGGATGAGTGTTGATGAAGTTTACCTTTGTTTGTTGACGTGTCCATCCCTTGACTCCCCAGACGGATTTATTCCCCATCTTGCAACTGACTTAGGTGAACCCCATGTTTCTGAAGGCACGGAGGTCATCCCGGCTGAGGAGGGGGAGGGGAGCACCGACAAGACCGTCATGGTGCGCAAGGTCGGAGAGGTCATGCAGAGCACTCTGGGAGTGGCTGCCACTGCCATCAACTATCCACTTGGTAGGCTGTGTTGTCTCTTCATCTAGGGGGAGGGGCAATTGAACAGTAATTGTAGTCTCTGCAGGTATTTAATTGGCTGTAAATGTCCACATTTTCAAATTTGAAGATATGGTGGAATGAGAGAGTACCCAGTATGTGCCTCATGTATGACTGTTACTGTTACAGTTACTTACTGTAGCAGTACTAGAAATCATGCAAAAATTTGCAGTGTTTGAATGTAACTGTACCATATTCCTTCAAGCATGAATTTGAAAAATTAAAATTGTGAGTGCCTCCTTTTCCCTCTTACCATGAAATGAAGTCCCTGCAAACGTAAAACAATTTACAGTATGTGAACCTTACCTATGATGAGTTTCTTGTTCATTCTTGTTCATTCTCCCCCCCCCTTGCAGGCCTGATGGTGGACGCAGCCCGCCCTGCGTACTGGGTAGCGGACAGCGAGATCGTGGCCTGTCACGGCTGCCAGACGGAGTTTGACCCCGCCATGTCCAAGCACCACTGCCGGGCCTGTGGAAATGGGTTCTGTGACGAGTGCTCCATGGCGCGGCGCCCCGTCCCCTCCAGGGGGTGGGACCATCCCGTCAGAGTGTGCAACGAATGTAACAGGAAAAGTGGCAACTTGTAGAATGTACAAGGCATTTGCAGGGCTCGAAATGCTTTTAATTCTGCATGGTATGGTGCAGGTAAATGTAAAATTACCTGCACAAGACAAATTGTACCTTCACCACTCAGAATTTATAGAAAGTATGGATCATAGTAGAATTCATAATGAAAACTGTTCACAAACAATTGCTATTATTTCTTTCTTACTTCATTAGTAGTAAGTCATTATTATTGATGCAGAAAATAAAAGTCCATATACAACAGCATGTCATAGGTATAAACACACCTGAAATACCTACACAGCTCCAATTTTTCCTGCACTGCAGTTGATGTTTTGAGCCCTGCTTTTGGGAAGAGTAACAATTTACTGAAAGCTAGCTTTTGAGGAGTAAAATGTCTGGAGAAGGTATTACAGCCTATAATGTATTTGAGAGATACTAGTTGTTGTTGCATTGAAAATTCTTATTGTTTTAGTTTACAAAATATTTAGTATTATATTATAGTATTTCTTGATAAAACAGATATAATCCTCTTGGTTGAAAGTACATGACATTGTATAAAATCCTTGCATTTGCTCTTTGGTGCTGACTTTCACAATTTGGTTGTTGCTTTAGGAAAAGGTGGCTAACTACATTTCTCATTGGTAATGGTATAGTATATCCTGTTACTAGTGCTGTGTACCTAAACCAATTTTTTAGCTTCAGTTACGGCTATCTCTTACTTCAGACAACTTGTGTTGCTGTTTATACACTTTTAACATGGACCAAAAATAAAGAAGATTAGCAAAGGGAGATAGGTAGTTTGAGTAAGATAAATTGGGAAGGTAGAAAAGGTTTTAACTAATTTCCACATGGTGCTACATCTGTAATGACACAGAATTGAAGACAAAAAGCAACATAAAGAACACAAGAATACAACAGCAAAATTCCTTAAATATTCCACGGGAGGGAAAAAGAGAGCATATTGTAGAAAAAAATGTCTATCAGATAATTATGTACATGTGTGTAAGTAACTGATCTGATGTAACTGTAAATTATTGTAACTCATTCAGTCTTTACAGTAATCCTACCCATGTCTAGGATCTATAAACTTACAAGTTACAAATGTATATTTAAGTAAGTACCTTTGTTTGATGTAGTTTTCGATTACTAGATTTGGTACTTTGCATGACTTTAGAGTGGACAGTAGTACCAATACTGGTAGTTACATCTTCTGTCTTTTTATGTGTGAATGGTTATAAGTGCAAAATAAGGATGGAAGTCATAACTGTTGTTAATTAAATGAACTGGGAACAAACCATGATGTAAAGAGGAAGATATCATGTTGTTTATTGAATATTTTCTCTCAAGGTACAGAAATATCAAAGATGATGCCTTACCATTCATACTAGCTCCCCCCTCCACATGCTAGATAATAGGGCAGTAAAAGGTAAAGTTAGTCCCATAGCATTTTTGAAGCCATAGGGGCAGTGGGTCATCCCTCTTCTTCCACTGCCTTTTACCTCCCCAACTGAAGTCGGGCATTTTGCACCTGGTTGGAGTGGGGAAAGTACATATAGTGTAGGCATTTCCAAAGGACACAATGTCTAGGAATGCCAGGAACCGAACCCACATACTCTTGATCTCGTCTGCTCGACCATCCGCTCGTCAATTTGATGCCACAAAGGCAGGAGAAATTGCCTTTTGTTTGTACATGTACAATCATGTACATTGTATTGTCCTTCAGTCAGATAGTCCAAGCTTGTACCAGTACAACTCGTCCTTGATGCCCATGAGTAGCCCCGGGGTGCCCCCCTCCCCACCCCAGCCCCAGGAGAAGGCAATGGTAGGTCTGGATGTCTGGGAGGTGGAGGAGGGGTGGAGGGAGGGGATGGTCCTCAGCAGCTGTCCATCATGCAGGTTCCACATACGGGTGTGACAGTCCTGACCAACTGCACAACAGAACAACACAAGCATGCAGTAAGGCCACACCAATTTAATTTGTTGGTTCTCGGATTTTTTCAGAAAAAATATGAAGCGACAGGGCGAAAAAAAATAAAAATTAATAACATATGTCGCAAGCTTGAACTTCCTATCATGGAATGCAGCTGATTAAAAGAATTTCCTCATTAATTATGCAAATTACATCCATATTTGCATAATTGTAATATCATTATGTCAAGCATTACTCAAGCTACCTACATACCAAAAATCATGATCCATCAATCGGTTCTTGAGTTATCCTCCTTTAAACATTTGTCCTTTAAACCCCCCTGCAGTTCTAGAGAAAGCAACTAGGGGGCCCAAACTCACGTCACTTCTTTCCCAGCACAAGAGCTACCTGCCATCCAAATTTCGTCACCCTAGCATGTCTGGATCATGAGATATCAAAACCGGAAGTTCAGCTGCAGTACCATGACAAGCAGCCAGGGGGCCCAAAATCTAATCAGTTCGAGCTCTCATCAAGACCTACCCACCTACCAAATATCAAGATAATCCATCTAAGCTTTCTCGAGTTATGCTGTTGACAGACACACACACAGACACACACACACACGGCCAGGAAAACATAACCTTCTCCAATTCTTGGCGAAGGTAATAAAAACAGGTCTAGGCATCCTATTATAGGCTTAAATGCTACAAAATGAGCCATGGAGTCAACACAAAAGGCTGGGTTAAAATTTAAACATTGAATTTTGAACTTTTAATCAAACCACTGCAATGATAGATGGGAAAACTGTAACAACTAGGAAGAAAAGGACTTTCCTCAACTGTTGGGGGCAAAACATGAACATTTTTCAGTTGATTCAGGACCAGAATCAATTTTTTTTTTTTTGCTAAATCAGAAAAAACGAAGAGGCGAATCCGAGAACCAAC